GCCAAAAAAAACCACTGTTTCCTGTAGATTATACAAGCAAACACAAGATGTTGGGGCGGGTCGGGGCCCCTGCTAGCCTCCCCCTGGCTCCGCCACTGTCAACATTACCGGATTTCAGAATTAGGTGGGTTTTAAACTTTGTGTGATGTGCAACTTGTGTGAGCTCCATCGTTTGATCATAAAACGAGTTAAATTTATGAGTGCTATTTGTAATTCTATTTACTGTAATCAATTTGTGGTCATCTAAACCAGACTCCAAGATAAATTGCAGAATACCTTGTTTCAAACCCCATCGTGAACAATGAAAACATGGCAGAAATCGAGCTAAGCCCACAAAAACAGTTGCAACAAACACACCCACATAGAAATTACATTCATTTGGTGGTCAAGTGCACGTAATTTGAATGTGACACGAAGTTGAACTCACCCCGGTCCTTTCATCTCGTAATTTGGAGAACTATAGCTTTTAAATGCGATAAAATGTGACGTAAAATTTAGATCTGGCAAAAAGGTCATATAGTCACAAATACATGCTACACTGTGTGGATACTTGGATACATACGAACAATACATGGATACGTCTGATACTTCAATTTTCTAAGAACTATGATACGCCGATATGGGGGTACGCCCAATACATCAATATATATTGAAGTGATGAAGTCTTCTAGCAGATATTTTACGTTTGCAAACCAACCTGTGGTTGGATAGTTAGGAGGACACTGGTATCCCCTGCCCATCAGGGTTCAAGTCACACATTTGACATTGATGCTCACATTTTCCTGGATTTATTCCAGGTCTTACAGTTATGTGCGTTCAGTAGGAGGAGACGTTTGTCAACTACAAAGCCATCTGTAACGACTTTGTCGATCTCAAGATGATGTACCGACTCAGCCTATATACTCATAAGGGTAGGGTGTGTGTACATGGGTTTATAGGGGTGCATGTCGTACGTACAAGCGTCTGCGTTTGTACTGTGTTAAAAAATACTTTATCAAAACAAAATAAATTAGTACAATGATAAATTCAAGTAGTGTAAAACACAATATGTTGGGAACTTGCTCGACACCCTAAACGGGGTGTGGCTCTTTCATTATATAGAGGTACCAAGGGGTACAATACAATGTTACAATATTAATACACAGACTACGTATATATACAGTCTAACACCCTCCCTTAATCTTAACTGTGGCCTGAAGTACAAAGCAAGTTAAGATTGCGCCTACAGCCTACAAACTGTGGTTGTGGAAGAGGCTTCGTGAAGATGTCAGCAAGTTGATCCTTTGACGGAATGAACTTGATACAAAGTAGCTTCTGTGCAACACGTTCCCGAACAAAATGATAGTCAACCTCAATGTGCTTCGTCCTAGCGTGAAACACTGGATTAGATGACAGATGTAGCACCAATGTTATCACACCACAGAACCGGAGGATGTGCTGAAGCAACTCTCAACTCTCTCAACAGAGACTGTACCCATATGATCTCAGCAGTGGCATCAGCAACTGCTTTGTACTCAGCTTCAGTACTACTGCGAGACACTGTGGCCTGCTTTCGAGCATTCCAGGCGATCAGGTTAGAACCCTGAAATACCGCATATCCCCCCGTGGATCGCCTGTCATCAGGACTGCCAGCCCAATCTGCATTTGAGAAAGCTGAGAGCTCACACGAGGGCGCAGGCTGAAGAAGCAAACCATAGGAGACAGTAAGACAGATGTAACGCAGAATACGTTTCACAGCTGACCAATGAGATGTCCTAGGTGCATGAAGAAACTGACAGACACGGTTGACTGCATAGGAGATATCATGCCTGGTAATAGTAAGGCATTGCAGACCACCAACGAGACTGCGATACTCAGTAGCATCCTCAGGTGAAAGAGCATCTCCATCAAGGGCAGATAACCGATCAATGGCAGACATCGGAGTAATAGCATGTTTGCACTTCAGCATACCAGCACGACGCAGCAGGTCCAGAGAGTACTTCTTCTGTGTAAGAGTCAAACCAACAGAAGAACGTGAAACCTCCAGACCAAGGAAAAAATGCAAGGCACCCAAATCCTTGACAGCAAAGGCACCACTGAGTGAAACCACAAGACGACCAGCAGCAGCATGGGATGAACTGATGAGAATGATATCATCAACATAAACCAGAAGATACATCGTAACCTCAAGACGCTGAAGAAGGAACAACGATGTGTCTGCAGTGGAGGGAGTAAACCCAAGTGCTCGAAGAACAGAGCCAAGACGAGCATGCCATGCACGAGGAGCCTGTTTCAGTCCATATAGCGCCTTAGTCAGACGACAGAGATGACGAGGGCGTGCAGGATCAACAAATCCAGGTGGCTGACGCATATAAACCTCCTCCTCCAGAATTCCATGGAGGAAAGCGTTCTGCACATCAAGCTGATGAAGAGACCATCCACGAGTGACAGCAAGAGATAACAGCAAGCGAATGATAGT